AGGCAACACAAGCTTCCGTCTTCAGGTGGAACAGTCACAGCAGAATATCTGTGTCAAGTGGACAGCTCTGAGACAGCTGGGATTATATACAGGTTAAGGGGGGGGGGGGAGGAGCCAAGAAGGGACGTGGGTGGGGGGGAGGGCTGAGTTAAGCCGCCTTCTGTTATGCGGCAGGGGGTTCGGGGGAAGAGATGTACGAGTACACGCAACCCACTGAGAGCAATGGAAATGGCTGTACAATTATAAGGCAGCTAACGTTTGACTTGATTTATAACATCTTTCCAATGGTTGCTCAATTTGAAACCATCCTCTCGGTTGAAGTTGTCTGTGTTTGTATATCTGGATGGCTTCATGGACAAATCTCTGGTAATAACCGGGAGGTTTGCAGAGAACTTTGGTATCAGAGAAGACAATGCCATGAGAACCCGCTGTGTTGAAACAATGATCAGCCACGGCCGAATAATTCGTTCTGCCGTGTTTCAAATCTGATTTGTGCTCGCGGATTCGATCAGAAATATGTCGTTTCGTCTCCCCGATATAGCAGTCACCGCAGGTACAACTCAATTTGTAAACACTGGGGTACTGTAAGTCAGGAATGACATCCTTTATGGATGGGATCAGATCACGGATTTTTTGTACTGTATTGAACCGGACCTGGATCTTGTGTTTGTTTAGCTTTGTTTATTGTTGCAAAAGAAAAATGATGGTGGAAACGGAAATGGTGAAAATATTGTGTGCAGCGAGTGTACTCCCGCCTCTCTTCCACGCGCTGATCTGGGGATGTGAGATTGACTCCTGGCCCATGCCACACGTTAGCGGCGTGTTATAGCAGAATTCGGAATGGGTCTCACCCCCTTCCCTCCCCGTATGCACCTTCACCAACCCACACCGAACAGCATGGTAAAGTATGGTCAAACAACGCTTGTGACAGACGTGCTGTGGGGGGAGTCCTTCAGCAGTGGATTGACAAAGCTGTAAACTATTACAAATGTTATTGTTGGCTTGGCAATGACTATGAAACTCATTACTGTTGCAAAATAACTGAAACTAAAGTGGGGTGTTTTTTCCCCCATCACTTTGCTTTATTATGCCAAACCTGGCGAAATATTCACTTAACCCCCTTTCCCATTTCAAGACATCTGCAAGTTGCAGGGTGGGTCCAAGTTCACCGCTGAATCTCAGAACGGGCAAGCGGTTAGGGTTAATTTTATTTAGAGACATACCGCCGTTGTTTTTCAAGACTGCAAGAACCATAGTGACACGACCGTACTCTGATAGCCCACGCCAAACTGTGCCATATGCCCAGTTTTGGGAGCCTTCGTACGTCTTCTGACTCGAAGATGTACCGATAAAGTTATTTTAGTTTAGTTTTTCTTCCGATTCTGTTCCGATGACGTAGGTGCACGTCATGACATGGGTGTACGTTTTCGGAATGGAATTAGGAGAAAAACTCATGACATGTACCTCATCGGATTATAATCTGGGAACCTTGAGCGGTCCTGGCTCAATTTTCCGTGATACAAAGAGGAGCACACCGATCCCCCTGGCTGCCTCCTTGAAATCCTCTCCAGATGGTCACAAAATCAAATTGAGTGATGATTCTATTTAGGCAAGGTGCAAACAACTCAAAATACAGTCGCGTTGTCTCGGGCCATTCTGTAGCCTCCGAAGTCAGCAGTGTTCACATTGAGAAGACGACCTCCCTCCACGAGTCCAAAATGGAGCAGAACAGCCATATGGCATGTGTACAGCATCCTGCGCATCACTGAGACCCACAGTTCATGAGCCGAGATGAGATATATATCACTTGTACCACGAACTTGAGTGGCTCGTATTTATATGTGCCAAATTACAGTAAATTATGTGAGAACCATTTGACATGAGTGGGGTCATCAAATTAATTCACCAATTAACCTTATTAAATTGGTAAGACGTGGTTAGGTGGTACCAATTTCTGCTCTGGCTTTAATAGTCTCATATCGAGGATTCAAACGTTATAATAAAAAGCCATAGACTCGCACAAGGACCCAATAATGGACTTCCTTGTGCAGATCCACAGCAAAGATCCATAACTGTGAAGCCAGTGAATTTGTTCACTCGTCGACAGCTGTGGCCATGACCCGAAGGGGTTATCCGCTGGTACTCGATGGGGACACAGCTACATTGTCGCCCGCGAAACCGCGGTCAACTATGCGACTCTCAAACTGTTCCAAACATTAAAGAGATGGAAAGGTGGCATGACCGCAGCCACCCAGCACACAAACCCACGCCTACAGTGTAGACAGATGTTCGCTCGCAAACTACACGCGCTGTGTTTGTACCCGCACAGAGCACACAGCTCACACGTGGGTGTCCACCGCGCCCTTGGGTGGCTACCACACCAGTCCCTCTGTTCGACTTGTAAAATGCTGTTAATGCTGCGTTGGTGGCGGTGCACAAATAACAAAACACGTAACACATTCGTCAACACTTTTTTGGCAAAAAGGCCTTTAAAGCACATTTGTATGTGCTTGTAATAAGGACCATTGCCTTTAACGCAGTGTTGACGAATATTTTGAGATTGTTTTTGTCCGTCTAATTTAACTCTGGGATGCACTTGCGTATGGTCGCGTGATTCTCTATTGCAATTACAAATATCCCTCAGTGCGGCGACTGCTGCACCAATCTCAAACCACGGGCCGCATTGCTTACCGCCACTGCCAGCTTCGATCGTTTGGCTGCAGCGATTGAGGTTTTTTTTTGCCAGGCTACTCCTGAAGCCTGGCTCACTAGCCAACTACGACGTGAACCTTCAAACGTTGCCGATCAATCCCTCGCCTTAAGAGGAATGCCCTTCTGCAGACTGGTGGCATGTAGAGCTGCGTTTGTGCATCATCAGCAGGCCAAGATGTTTTGCAAACAGCCAGCTTTTTGGAAACAAGCAGCAGACTTTGAGAGTTGCGCGCTTTCAGATGTGCTTCTGCGGCCGCCTGGAACGCTCTTTCTTCCAATATTCGGAATCCACTCGAGCTATGCACTTTTAAATCGAGATTGAAACCTAATTTCTTTAGAACTTTGTGTGTTTTTTTTGTTGTCCTTCCCCCGCACCTCCGATAAGCACGGTTGGCTACGTACGGTGTGAAAGAAGTCCAACATACAGTACACACGTGCGTTGAAGAAAGGCAGGACGCGTCGCAAGGGTGGACGCCTGCCGGTGGTCAGGATTCACGACGGAGTGGCAGCCAAGGAATGGAACGTTCCAGAGGACGTCCACCACATTCATTCATCGCGCATAGTTCGTAAAGGAGCGGTGCGCCCAACGTGACCTCTTGCGAATAGCATTCTCATAAAGTTCTCTTGGCAGCCATACACCGGTGTCTCGAGTTATTTATTTGATCCACGGATCACGGTTGGGGTGGGGGGGTCGGTACCACGGGGGGCGGCGCCATTCATGTTAGGGTCGCAGTCCACCTCGAACGTCGAGTGCCGACTGAAGTGATCGCAATTTGCCGGAGTTCGCGCATCCAGACGAGGCGACGCGTCCACAAAGTGACAGCCGTCTCCTTCGAGCAGAAGCTATCGATCGTCCACCACGGAGACGGGCAAATGAAGTCGGTCCCTGTGCAAGGTGCTGGATGGAGAGTTGTATCGCGGCAGCACGAGTGGCTTTCGGTCGGCTTGGGGGAGGCCTTTGTCCAGCTGTGGATAGTTCATGGCTGGTGATGACGAGAAAGACTCCAGACTGGCTTGCTCGTGGGCTTGTAAGGTTAAGGGAGAATGTCAACTTGCTTAACACGCCGTAGCAGAGAATTCGCCCTCGGAGGTGCAAGGAACCACAGACAGACAAGTGGTAAAGGCGGCAGCAGCAGCAGCAGCAGCCATGCAGAGCTGGTGCCAAATTCCCCTCCCTCCCCCCCCCCCCCCAGTACTGCAGTCCCCTATACAGGGTGCTTCAAAAAAATGTTAACACTTACATGGGACTATCTTTTTGTGGAAAAAGAACGGATAATACAATAACATGATCACAAATGTTAATAGCTTGGAAAAGTAAAAGTCTCGAATTGTTCGCCATCGTTGTCAACGCGTGCCTGGAAACTTCTCCAGGTGGTCTCCATAGCCCGGAGGCAGTGGCACATTTTTGGTGAATTTGTTGCAAATTCTCTGAAGTGTTAACATTTTTTTAAAGCACCCTGTATATGAAAGTGTTCTTGGCCAATTCATGAGTTTACATGTGGGGGGAAATGGGAGCACCCTGAGAAAACCCGCACCGTGCGAGGGCGAAAACGCGATCCCACGTAGATGTATATGGCATCTCGACGGGAAACAATGCCCTCTGTGGAGGCGCTTGCGTAGCTTAGGGCCTGGGCTACGATGGTGATCACATGGCCCTGGGTTTTTGTAGCTGGGAGGTGGCAATTTTATCCGTTTCTAGTCTCCGAGTGCCATTCGGTGATGTTGATCCTTGGATCCTGACTCCTGTCTCTCTGATGAATGAGCCAAGAGTCATTGCATCTTCGTGTTGCCGCTGCACGGAAACGGGTCCGAGAGCCCTTGCAGCCCAGTGTTCGCTGTCGAGCAACAGCAGGAGGAGGAGGGGAGGGGGCGAGAGAGAGAGCGAGGGTGTAGATCTGCAAAGAAAGAAGTTAAGGGTAGAGAGGCTGAGGAGGAGAAATAGGCGGGACATGAAGAGAGTCGCGAAGGGGGAGATTGTGAAGGAGGGCGGTGGGGGGTGGGGGGAGTTGAACCGGGCCGTATCAAAGCGGGCGGCTCGTGTTTACCGAAGCTGGGCAAACATTTTGCGATGGGACGAGGCTGAGGAGGAGGAGAGGAAACAGGCACCACCCCCCCCCCACACCCCCCACACACACCCGCCCCCCACACACCCGCCCCCCACTTTATTAATAAATACGACGGAGGACGAGGAGGGCCGAGAGACGCGAAGGGGCAGCCGAGGCGAGGGAGGATCGGCTCGCAGTGTGACCGAATCTTCCCTAAGGCGGCGTCACCACTGGTATCACAATAACATCGCCTTCGCTCGTCATCACTGTCTTAACTCATTTGTCGTCGATATCGTCGTCACCATAACTCAGCATTCATCCCTTATCATCATTGCCCATCGTTAACCATCGTCGTCATCATCATCGCGTCTCCAATTGTTTTACAGCATCATCATCACTACCACCACCATCATCATCATCAACCCCCCACATCTTTGCATCATCGTCACTGCCCTCGTTATTAACTGCCCATCACAATCGCTCCCATAACTCTCTCGATGATGATGATTTTGTAACTGGGGAGAAAGTCTTGGCAAAGAGTTTGCTCGAGTAACTTTGTTCCTGTTATTTTTTTGTTCCGATGGTTCTGGCCACGTCCGGCTGAGGTGGAGGAACTTGAAAGGAACGGAGAAGAAGGGAGAAAAAAACCAACCCGCGACAACATTGGAGCGCGCGTCGACCCTTGTGGAGTTTCGCTTACAATTAAAATCACGCAAACAGCGAGAGACTCCCAGCTTGGGCCCAGGTCAACGGCACACACGCGCACACACAAAGAGAAACGAATCTAAAAGTTCGTTCCGATCATTTGATTGATCAAGGACATCATCGGCACAGACGAGCGGACGCATATGGACCTTGTGATCTGCAGTTCAGCTCCAGCAGCGGAGAAGTGACCTCCATCATCACAGCCACCAAACACCACCACCATCAACACGAAGGGAGGCATCCTCCACCCACCCATCCATCCCGGATCATGGCTCCAACTGTGCGTGCTGAAGTCTCCGGTGCTCCGTTGTTGGTGCTGCTGGTCGCCCTGTGTTGCCTGGGTCCTCTCGGGACTACAGCCAAGGGCCACTTCGGCTCCCCGTACCGACTGAGCCTCTACTCCGCGCCGTCCCCTCCCGTGCGTTCCCCTCCCCGGCACAGGTGAGTGAGCGACGCGGCGAGACATTGTCGGCTCTGCTCTGGCCTCGCTGGCGGGACCAGTGGTGAAACTAAAACTATTAAAACAATTGTTTTGTTTATTTTACCAGGTAAGGCCCACCGAGATATATCGATAGCTCGTTTTCAGCGTCGACCTGGCGGCAAATTCTTGCAAAAAAATGGGTTTATGTGGACATTAATAGCAGCCCAAATACTCGAAACGCGTGTTTCTAAACGTTGAGTGGCAACAATTGGAGGACACGGAGAAAAATCCACGCGACCACGGGGAGAACTTTCAAACTCCAAATATACAGCAGGCGTCAGGGTAGGGTTCGAACCCACGACCTTCTGCGTACCAGGCGAGGTAGTTAACATCTCACCACCGTGGCGAGTGGGCATCTTCATGCGTTTGCGGACATTTGGCTGGTGGTGCACGTGGGATGATGGAGTGGAGGCGATTTCGTGGGGATCTCCGTAACTCTACCACCGAGACTGGCTGTGAGCCTTGCTTTATATTCAGGTGCAATACAAAACTGTTACACGCGATATGCGCCCGATGATTACGCACAGCGGGTGATTACGCACCACTTTTAAAGCAAAAGTTAGCGGTGCATCTTTCACGCGGTAGGTGTCTGTGTGTCTGTGTGTGCGGTCAGATTTTGTACAACTTTATTCGGGGTATCGGGCACAAGTATGGGGTTTGTCTTACTTGCCGGAACGTCTTATAATCCGGAAAATGCAGTGATAAATACGTCCGACGGGACAGCGCGTCGATTCAAATTGAGACAGAAATGGTGCGTGTGTCTGTATGTCTTTGTATCTCTGCTTATGTGTGTCTGTGAGCGCACTGCGCTGCAAACCTGGCCGCCCGGGTTCGATTCCCGCTCACGGCCAACACCAGTGACGATTATCTGAACCGGTCCTGGGCCTCCCCTAGGTCGACTCAGCCTCAAATGAGTACCTGGTGCAGTGTGTAAAATATCGCCACTAGGGAGACAAAGGCGGGCGTGCGTGGTGCTGGCCACCCACCCCCTCGTGTGCCGTGCCGGTCTTCATAGCTGCTCGCTAAGAGGATTTACCCCAACAGTCTGTTAAGACGACACGGGGGATCTGTTGTCTGTGCGTGTCTCCATGTGGTTACGTGCGTGTCTCTGCGTTGCGTGTCCCGTTTGTGTGTGTATATACCGCGCGTGTCGCGCAAATGCTTCGATATCATCGACGCTGCCTCGTGTCGAGCAATCATCAGGCGCGCGTAGCGCGTAACAACTCAATTTGCATGGAGTTAAACTGGTCAACTCGGAAAGTCACAGTGACCGTAGCTGATCACATGAGTCGGCGTGTTGGAGAGACCCTGCCTAAACCGGGTGCATACTCATTATTGACATGATTTATATAAACTCTGCCTGCGTATGCGTCCCAGTGACATGGGGAGCAGTGGCGTAGTGGTTAGCGCACTCAGCTACGAATTCGATCATCGCTTCTTGCGACGATTTTATCCGAACAGGGGGCTCCAGCCTTGAATGATGTGCTCTCTGTAACAGTTCCCGGTTCGGTGTGTAGACATCAGAATTGGGGAAGACAAAGACGGGCAGGGGCACGGCGTTGGCCACCCCCTTTACCCGTTCATGTCAGAATCAGAATATGTATTTATATTGGAGGAATCCGATGAGCTATAAAGCTCTTTTTTAACAGATGTGTCGTGTAGACCTTCAAAAGGTGCTCGCTAACAGCACTTGCCCCAAGTTTACTCAAGGCCATTCTCGTCTTTGTTCTGTCACTCGTGACCTCGGGATCGCTCTTAATTAGATAACAAAACATTAATTTTCGGGTCAGTGTGAGAATATAATTCACGCAATTTCAGACAATGGGCCTATATATCTCTCGCGAATATCTGTCCCTGCGCATACATTTTTTTTTCCCGAGAAGTATTTAAGCAAAGCCTGGCTGAGATTGCAGCACTGTATTCGTGCGAGCCAGACTGCTTACATGTTGAAACGGGTCCAGAGTTTTTGCTCGCGTTGCTGAAATTATAACTGCTCTCAAAAGTGGCGTGTGGCTGATGGCAATGCGTAAAATATAGGTTTTCTTTTTGTGTGTGTGGACGAGCAGGTATAGATGTATAAAGGGGATACCAGTACTGTACTATCGAATTACCTGCTCGGTTTATTTTGTTCAATTAAATTCGGCGCCTCCCACGTCGCGCGCCTCCACAAGCATCGGGCGCGTGCGGCGTGTGTCGTTTCCCTCGTTTGTAACTGAACGGGTAATACGGCATTGGCAAACGTGTAAATGTGGACCTATGGTGGGGCCGCGAAGACTGTGAGGCGTGGGAGACCCCCTCTGCTGCTGCTGTGATGGCCCCAAAAAAGCCCTACGGGTCCAGCTTCACTGCGGCCGTTAACCCTGCCGTGTAAGTCAAAGCCGTGTTCTTGACGAATGTGTCGAGCGGATGTTTTCGTTCGCTATTTCTGCCTTGTGTTGTGCTACCGTGTTCAGTTTATAACAAAATTAAGTAACCCTGGCTACTCACTGCGTAACACTGTTCGGAGCTAAGTGCCGTTAGCGAGCCACCGATTACTGTGCTGCGTATATAGAACACTGGCGGTCACAGACTCCAATCAACTACGTAGCTCTTGTCGATACGACTTGCCTCGGCTGCGTGCCCCCGGGCCTTCTTTGTCTTTGCGCAAGATTGAGGATTGGTTCACGAGAGAAATTAAATTTAATTCGCCACCGTCATGGCGCTCACATGGCCTCACTTCAACGTCACCATTCCGTGCTTTTAATTTCAATGTCGGTGATGTTCATAATAACACCGTTTGAGGCTGAGTAGACCTAAGAGAGACCCACACTGAAGTGTGAGTTTCAGTTTGGGTCAAGTTAGGTGAAGCCCTCACTGGGTCGATATTTCAGTCTGAATCAACCTAGGGGAGACCCACAGCCACTCATTCTTGGAGTGACTCACCAGCTCTGCATTTCAGCCCGTTTAAGAGTTGCTTTTTACTGGCTCCACATTTCAGTCCGAGTCAACCTAAGTGGGGGGGGGGGGGGGGTTGACGACCCACACTGAGATCTCATTTCAGGCTGAGCGGACCTGTGGGAGCGAAGACGTCATCTCTCCTCTCTCTACCCCCCCCTCCCCCGTGTTGTGCGACCCCCCCCCCCCCCGCCTCACCACCCTCGTGTCGGACGTTTCCTTCCGCAGGAACTGGTGCGCGCACGTGGTGACCCGGACCATCTCGTGCGCCGTCATCAACGGCACCGACTCCTACGTGAAGGCCGAGCGCAGGCCCTGCTCCTGGCCCAAGGGCAAGTGCCAGCGGCCGCTCATGTGAGGATCGCAGGGGGCCCGGCCACCACGGGGAACGGGCCACGGCTCGAATGTCCCGCTCGCGGCCGTCGGCTTTGCCGCCGGTTTGAATTTCGGCGGGTTGTTGTTGGTCAAGTGGGTAGGTGGTCCGACGGGCGATAGGGTGGTCGCCCCTCAGCGGCAAAAAGGAGGAAATGAACGGGGCGTTTCGTGGGAAGAGGAATGTCTCACAACGCCAGTGGAGGGGAGAACTGCGTGTAATTGTATTGTCTTGAGTGGTTCATTATTTTTTTTAAATTATTGGTGGCACACACCTCCAGATCAGCACTGTGGAGGCGAGGGTGGTGGATCACGTAAATGTTGTGAAACTCCTTTCCCGTGGGCATTGAGGTGTCGTACCCTGGCTCACCAGGAGAATACGGTACAGCAATTGTGGACTGCACCTTTTCCATCTGTATGGGATAGTGTTTCTCCGGGTGCTCCACTTTCCACCCACGTGTAAAGACTCCTTAATTTTCTGATAACACCTTTACATATAGAGGACCACAGAGCTTGGACAATTGTTTGCACCGGCTTATCGAGTGGCTGCTGCTGCTGCCTTCCCATTTGTCATCTGGTTCCTCGTGCTACTGATTCGTCCTCTCTCGACAAGAGCGAGTGAATTTTGTCTGGCGGCGGCAGCGCGTTACAAGTTGAAGCTATGATCGTTATTAATTTTACTACGCAACTGACAGAAACGGGTACTTTTAATGTCCTCGGAAGCCTTAGAGGTTTCCCAGGACAGCAGCTGTCTCAAGGAGAGGAAGATTCTGGGAAAATCAGGACAGGTGGTAACTCTAGTCGGCGACCTCGGTAAAATATTTCCACTCCCAGAACACCACGTCCAGTATACGTCTCGTTATGTCCGGGGCTGCGAGTCAAGCGCCGCCTGCTCCACTGTCCCTGAGACTCGGAAATAAATAAAAAAACATCCGGTGAGAAATGAATACCCTGGTGGGAAGTCAACCACTTGTGAGTGGTGACCAGACCCAGGGCTCACACCCTGGTGCTTGGAGGTTGCTGGCTCAAGTGTTTCTGACACTGGCATCAAAACCGCACGTGACAACCGGCTTAAGTAATTGAACCCTGACCCTCAAAGGAGCTGGTTCAGTTTCCAGATGGGAGCCGGAGCCCACGAGGGCGCATCAGTTTCTCGGAGCTTTTACCCAGACACTTAGAGGTTGCCGGCCCACTGATTCTGAAATTGGCGTCTGCTCCAGGAATAGAAGCCAGACATCAGAGGTGTTGGCCAAGTGTCGCGATAGTCATATCAGCCTGCCATGTGTGACGACGCGCATGTAACGAGGCGCGTGTAACGGCTCTTGTTTAACAACGCGCGTGTAATGACCCATGTGTAAGAACACGCGTGTAATGACGCGTTGGCTGTCGGCACTCACGATCCTGTAGGAATCGATGGCTGTATTGGTGGTTTGCGCACGTGGCACGTCGCGCCCGTGTGTCACCTCAGGCTTGTGGAGTTAACGAAACTGCAAAGAGAGGAAAAAAACATGAGAAACGATCCAAGCGATTAATAAGCAAAATAATAAATCGTTGAATCGAATCGCAATTCCACTGAATCTCAAGGAGGGACAATTTATTTAATGTCCAGTCGTAGTGCCCGAGGAGACACATTTCCCAGGAATTGAACCTAGACACCCAAAAGGTTCTGAGTGAATTACCAAACGTCTTAATGTTAGCCCCTAGGAGACGAAGCTACAAGAATTGAACCCAGGCACTCGGACATGCTGGCTCAGTATTCTGTCGCAAGACAAAGATTCCTAGGAGACACACAGCCCCAGGGCTTATATGTCTAATGTCAGCCTCCATGGGCATCCAGTTCCAGGTGTTGAACCCAGAGACTCAGAGGTTCTAGGAGAATTATTAAATGCCCACTACAGTATTAGCCCCCTCGGGGACTGATCTATGAATTGACCCCAGAACCTCAGAGGTGCTGGCTCTGTATCTTAACACGGGTGACAACCTCCTTCCTGGCAAGGCACCGGGGCCTTAAAGGGTTCGAACCCAGACATTCGCAGTTTGTTGCCTCGGTGTCCTCATGCGAGCAAACAACCTCACAGCGGCCACTGGTTCAGCGGATAAACCTCCCCACCCCCCGCCCCCCCTACCCGCCGCTGCCCGTGTCGCCGCAGGTACCGCACGTACCTGCGCCCGCACTACAAGCTGGGCTACAAGACGGTGAGCGAGATCGAGTGGCGCTGCTGCCCCGGGTTCGGCGGGGACAGCTGCCTCGACCGCGTCGGGGGGGCCCCCCCCCCATCGGGCTCAGGTGAGCAGCCCTGAGCCAGACTCCAACACAGGGCGTGGCCCCTCGCTCCGAACGGTAACCCAACCGTCTCCCTAAAACTGCCCCTTGACACTAACCCTAATACTTGCCTTTGACCCTAACCGTGGCCCTAACCTTGATTCTAACACAGAATGTATCCTTTAATCTGACCAGTAATAAAGCCCCTATCGTTAACCTCTATCTTTGATGATAACCCTGATCTGAACCCTAAATCTGACCTTAATAGTGACAATGGCCCAAACCCTGACTCTAACCCAGAACGTAACCCTGACCCTGACCTATAACCTGACCCTTATCGCAGGTGACCGACGATGAACCAACGTAAAAATATTGTAACCATTCACAGTACACAACACTGACAGAATAACATAACAGCATGCACACAATGACGTCGATTACAGTGTTGACACGAACCCTAATCTCAACCCCCAATTGTAATTCTAACCCTAACCATGTGCACGTGTGTGTATCTGCCTGCATGCTCGCACGTGTGCGTGCGCGCGCGCGTATACGCATGTGCCAAACGTGTGTCTTCATTCCGATGCGTGCGAATTCATGAGCTCCATGTGAGCCCATCTGTCTCCCTCTCTCCCCATCCTTCCCTCTCCCTCTCTCCTATCCCTCCCTCTCCCTCCTTCCATCGCTCTTCCTCCCTCTCCCTCTCCCCGCCCCTCTGTTTTCCCCCTCCCCCGCTCTCCCTCCCAGTGCCCGGAGCCGGCTTCGTCAAAGGCGTCCCCACCGGTGGGGGGCCTTTCAAACTGGGGGGCCCAGCCCCGAAGGTGCCGGGGGCCATGGTGCCGGGCCCCCCCCCGGGCGGGGCTCAGGGTGACCCAACCAAACCGGGCTTCAAGCCCAAGTATCCCCAGAAAAGTACGCACTCGTCCCACGCATCCAATATCCCCGTGCGCCGGGTTGTCAACGGCCGCTGCCGGGGCCGTGCTTACACTGCGGTCGGCAGAGGGCAGTGCAGAAGAATAAATTGCCGTGGTGTATCTTCTTGGTTCTTTCGGTAAAGTCACGTAGAATGGAAATGAAATAATAAAAATAAAACGTAATAAAAAATGCTGTGGTGTAGCCTCATGCTCCCGCGTCTATGCTGGAAGCCGTCGCCAACCCGCAATTGACCAGCGTGGGTGAAGTATGGTGAAGATATCTGTCAAAACCTGCATGGTGGTGGGAAGGACTTCATAGGTGCTCGCTAACAGCACTTTCTCTTAAAGCCTGTTAAGGCTATACGGGTGGTTGTCTTTGTACAAATACGAGTTGGTCGGGTGGCACAGAGGTCAGAAGTACTTGCGGACACCGCGGTGACAAGCTGTTAGCTCCCTCGCCTAGCATACAGGAGGTTGTGGGTTCGATCATGACCCTGAAGATGCCTGTATTTTTCTGGAATGTGCATGTTCTCTCTCCCCACGGTCGTGTGGATTTTTCCACAACATGCGTTGAGAGTATTTGTCTGCTATAAATTTCCAGATGATAAATCACTTCGTTGAGTTATCACGTGTGGCCAGGTCGCTTCTTAAAAGAGCTCTGTAGCTCAGTGGACCTTACCTGGTAAAATGAAAATGAATGCAGGGTGTTTCTGCTGTTCGCACTGTGACAAAACGCGATGGTAAAAAATAACATGATTCTTAAATAGAGTTTCAAGTTTATTTTGTTTCAACTGGGTGAAAACTCCGGAGGCAAGGAGAGTCTCATTTTCAAGAGTGCCCTGGGTTGAGAATCGTGACCTGGGTTGAGAATCGTGACCTGCATTTGTCGATGATTCATTGGTTGTTAACCTGTCGCTGCAGCTGGTACCCGATGTACATCAGTGTAATGCATGGTGCAAGGGACATCGCGTGTGTCCAGATCCCCACTTTCTTAAAAATACGTGGCATTTATTCGAATAATAGTTGTTTGGAAAGCCGATAGTATGAATCCAAATGTACGCGTGCTTAAAAAAAATGTAGTCAGCAAAAATTTTCAACAAAAATCACATCTCTATTTGCATTTCAGAAAATGAATACATTTGGGACACAGGGAAATTGTGTTTTAAGTAGAAATTTGCTTCATGTGACAGATTCATGCAATCGCCAGCAGTGGCTGTTACAGGGAAATAAATCCGTTTGGGAAAACAGAACCATTTCCTCATTCAGGTTGTATATGTAGTGAGTCCAACTGAGTCGCAGACGTTGTCTTGGGAGCAACACTATTTACTACATCAACTCAACACAGCATAACGTAACCTACGCTCGTGTGTTGAACGCCCATCTAACCACGCTACGGAAGAACTAGACACGGTCCCGCTATCCCGGTCCGGACCACAAGCTGGGTCCCGGACCGCATGGCTAGAGGCTTCTTCAAGCGTTGCCGAGGTCTGAGTGGTGGTAAGTTATCTCTGTCTGAACTTGTCGCCTGTTTATTGGGGGTTTTCTCGGGGTCCTCCAGTATTACCCTCCACATTTAGAATTAACATGCCAAATACTCTAACTGCATGATGAAGATACCTACTGGACACAGTGGCGAGATGTTATCTGCCTTGCCTGGTGTGCAGGAGGCCATGGGTTTGATCCCGACTCTGACGCCTGCTGTATATTTGAAGTTTGCATGTTCTCCCCGTGGTCGCGTGGATTTTTCTCTGTGTCCTCCAGTTTTTCCCCTCTACATTTAGAAACATGCGTTTAGAGTATTTGATGGCTATACATTTCTGCATGATAAGCCACTTCGTTGAGCTATCATTTGTGGCCAGGTCGCCTCTGAAAAAGAGCTATGTAGCTCTGTGGACCTTACTCGGAAAATATTAAAAGTTCAGGTTCGTTTAGTCTGGTGGCACCGGCGGTTATGGCCACGGCGAACATCTCAATGTTGACATTGGCCCTCATCCCAACAGGCGGCAGGCCCCTCATGGACATCTACGGTGAGCGGATCGATCGGCTGGAGGATGCAGTGCGGCGCGTGACGCTGGTGCTCGAGCAGACGCAGGGCTCCCTGGTGGGCATGACGGACGGCCTGCGCGCCTCCCTGCACGCCGACGCGCGCCACATGATCCAAGCGCTTGTGGGTGGCGTGGTGCACGACCGTGGCGCCGGCCCTCCCCATGGCGAGGCGCCCGACTCCATCGTGGGCTTCGAGGCCGTGCCTCCCGACCACCGTCACGAGGTCGTGCCCGGCGGAGACAAGACTCCTGGGATGTATGCCGAGGTACAGAGACGTAATGGAGGGAGGGGCGGGGTAATGTATGTATGTTGAACTTCTTTTCCACCGTCTGTAGCCAACCGTGATTATTGGAGGTGCAGGGTGCTAAACAAATTAGTTTTCAATCTAGATGATTTAAAACTGCATGGCTCCAGTGGCTTCCTAATATCAGAAGAACGAGCGTTTCAGACAGCCGCGGAAGCGCATCTGAAAGCGCCCCATGCAGTGACCGTCTTTGTTCGATGGTTAGCCAAAAAAGCCACTGCAAGGATGACCGGAGTTTCCGCCTTCCATTAGCACGGTTGGCTACGTATGGTGCGAAAGAAGTTCAGCATACATACATACTAGACGAGATCGGCAAAGTATTGCTGTTCATTTGTGGCAAGCACTTTGCGTGCAATGAGTGCGACCGTATAAAAATGCATCGTTCGGCAACCGCAAGCCATTTCAGCTCAGCAAGCACTGGACACTGGGTGAGGGGGGTAGTGGCCCGGTGCTGGCCACCCAACCCCTACTCGTGTGCCGTGCCGGGACTTCATGGGTGCCACTTGGTCACAGGGCTACACGCGTCTTGCGCCTGCGTGTTTTTCCCCAGCCGTACCCGGACGTCATGGCGAAGGTGGTGGCGCTGCGGGAGGACCTGCGCGAGCGCGACCGCGTGCTGGCCGAGCTGCAGGCCACCGTGGCCGGGCAGGCGCAGCAGATCCAGCGCCTGGCCGACAGGTTCCCCCACCACCCGCCTCCACCTCCGCCGCCGCCGCCGCAGCAGCAGTTCCCCCACCCCGACCTGGCCGTGCTCGACTCCCTGCTGGGCGACCGCATCCTGCAGCTCAAGGGTGAGGGCCCTCGGCCGCGTCGGTCCCCGGTTTAGGCCTCGCTCGTTCGAGGGTTTGAGGCGCCGCGTTTCCCCCGGGAGGCTCTAACCAAGACGCGTGGCGAGCCGCACGCCCCCCCGCCTCGCCCTATGTGCGCCTCGCGTGCTGTTTCTGTTGTGCGCGACGCTCTCTACTCTGTGCAGCATCGTTGAGGTGCGGTCGGTATCGAGGCGCTTTGTATGTTGTGGCACGCCGCACCGAAGGAAGCACCTTCCCCCCCCTTCCTGCCTCCGAGAGTCGTGGTCGTCACGAGACAGGAAAACCGGCATTTTAAATCTCAGAGCCGGAATAACATTTTAGTTCATAAAATAGCAGTCCGCACGTCCTTGGGCAAAGTCAATTTTCTTTTTGTTTACGTACGTGGCGCCTGTCTGGCACAAACATGCCACTCAAATCTCCCATCACATTCATGCTCCCTCCAACCAGCCCAGCCAGCCTTTTAATCTGATTTAGTGTCATAAAACATTTGTATTCATTTGTGGAGACACATATACTATGAGGTTTGCTGGGTGGCTCACAACGTGGAAATCATTCATTCACGTGGATTTATCTTCTTCTTCTTCTCTCTTTCTCTGTCCACTCGTCCCACAGGCGAAATCTTCAACGGCGTGGACGAGCGCATGAACGGCCACGGCGGCGGCGGCGGCCACAGCCTGTGCTCGTGCGACTCGCAGCTGGCGCTGCTGGAGCAGCGGGCGCAGCGGGCGCAGCTGGCGCTGCAGCAGCACGTGAACGCGACGCTCTCCGCCTTCCACGGCGAGCTGCAGGGCGTTCGCACCGACGCGGACGGCGCCGCCGCCTGCTGCGCCGGCGCCACCGCCACGCTCGACGGGCGGCTCGCCGACCTCGAGAGAGGGGTGCGGAAAAAAAAACTCCCGGGGGAGGGCGGGAAGTCGTTTTTCCTGACATCGAGATATTGAGCGATAAGGCGACCGCGCAGGTCGGCATGGCGCGTTTCGCCCGCTACTTTTAGGGTCTCCGCTTTAGTTTGGAGCCTCTGGCATTTACGACTCGGGGAACTTGCAGCGACCAACACTTCTTAACGACGCTGCTTTTGAAGAGGTGCTTATTTCGATGCGCTTGGTTGTATCGTCGTAGCGTTAGTCTCACGATCGCGCCTTTGCACACGCGGGCACCTAGGTGTGTGCTTGAAGCGCCTCGTTTCCCCGCTGCGCACAGGGTGGCCTGGAGAAGGCAGAAGCACAGCAATTAGGTTTGCGCACCCACCTCTGCGGGCCTTCGAGTGTTGCCCGCCGACCGTGACCGCTACTGAGACCATGACGGTGGACGTGTCCGTGTCGGCGACCGCGGTTGTAACCGCAATCCCCCTGCCCACAGGTGCTGGGCGGCCACGCGGGCGGCCCCGGCGACATCCAGGGGGCCGTCATCACGGGGGAGGTGGTGGCACTGGACGCCCGCCTCAACGGGCTGGAGGCGCGGATCAACGCATCCGACCCGTGTCTGCCGGAGCACTGCTCGCACCTCCGGGACTTCCTCTCCGGCCTCGTGGCGGGCGAGGCGGCCGACCTCAAGTCCCAGCTCGAGCGGACGACACTCAACCTGGAAGTTCGCATCGCCGACGCCGCACGGCAGCAGCCCCCTGGCGGCGGCGGCGGCGGTACTGGCGTCGTCGTGACGACCGGGGGGGCGGCCGCGAATGGAACAGACACCGCTGGGCCGCAGGAACGCGGCTGCTGCACGGACGATAACCGCGTGGAGCACGTCCTGGCGCGGCTGTCGGTGGTGGAGGCCGGCGTGGCATCGCTCAATGCCAGCATGCGGCGCTGGGAGCAACGCGGTGGGGGAGCCGGGGAGGATGCCGCCGAATACGGGGATTTTGGCGCCGTGCAGGGAGAGATCACGCTCCTCAAGCTCAACTTCAGCACCATCAACCGCACGCTGCGGGGCCTGCGTGACTCGGTGAGCCCGCCGTGGGAGCGAGGGAGCCGCTCACGATGGTAGCGCCGCAGTTCAGGTTTCCACGGTCGTGCGGTTGCACGTTCCCCCCCCCCGCCCCTCCCCCCCAATGTGTGGTCGGGATTTGCTCCATGTGCTCGGAGCATTGTGTTTTTGTCAGTTCGATCCCTGGCCTCGGCTAGAATCAGCGGCAAGTATTTATTGAACTGGTGCTGGGGCCTTGGCTAGGTCCACTCAGCCTTAACCGACAACCAACTACGGCGCGTCCCAAAACTCGGGGGCAGCCGGGCGTGGTTCCTGGCCACATCCCCCCCTTTTGCACGGCCTGCTGGCATTCCCCCGGTGCTCGCTAGCGTTCGTCTCTGCCTCTGCCTCGCAGGTGAGCGAGTACCGCGTGGAGAGCGCGCGGCGCGTCAACGAGTCGGTGGCGCAGGCGGAGCAGCGCCTCGATGGGGAGGTGCAGCAGGTGCGGCGGCTGCTGGGGGAGCAGGCGAGCCGGCTGGCGCGTGAGGACTGGCGCGTCCGGCGCCTGCAGGGCCAGCTCGGCCTGGTGGCGCAGCGCGTCGCCTCTGACGGGGCGACGCGCTGCAGGGAGGTACGCTGCAGCCCCCCCCCCCCCCCCACGTGCACCCCCCCCCCCACCCCCCCCAGGACCTCCCCGCCCCTCACCGCCCCTATGCCGTGGGTCACATCGCATGAGCGCGCGGACCGTCCTAGGAACGGGGCGATGCGTCATTCACGTGACACTTGGCTGAACCTCGTCAGACATTCATCGCTCATCCGATGCTCACAGCTCCACAGTTCATGCAGCGAATGCAGGCAAGAAATTCTGTCATATACGCACACTTACACCGGGCAATTGTGTTCATACTCCGCATGACACTCGTTTGCAGGGCTCCCAAAAGAGAAGCCAGGGTTTGGCGGACGGCGGCTGCTTCAAGTCCGAGGGGGCGGCACCGGGAGAGAAGGAGGCGCCGGCCGCGGCAGCTCTCAAGGAAGGCCCAGCTGTCCGGGACAGGGCCGCGATGATGCGGGCGGCGTCCGTGGAAGGGGCGGTGATGGGAGAGAGGGCGGCGCCGGCAGAAAGGGCGGCGCTGGGCGAGGTGGCAGCGGCGATGGGGGTGACATCCGTGGAGGGCATGGTCGCGGGCGAGAGGGCAGTGACTTCACGGCAAGGGGCGACGCCCCGAGACGACAGGGCCATCAGAGCCAGGGCCGCAATGATGCGGGCGGCCTCCGTAGAGGGGGCGGCGATGGGAGAGAGGGCGGCGCCGGTGGAAAGGGCGGCGCCGGCGGAGCGGACGGCGCCGGCAGCTGCGCCGATAGCGACGGCCTCCGTAGACGGGGCCCCCTCGGTGGCTCGGGCGGCCTTCGTGGAGGGGGCGGCGCTCCCCGAGCAGGCGGCGGGGCCGGCCGTCACGGCAGGCCCCGAGGTGCAGGCGGCCGCCCTGCTGGAGATGCAGCGCGAGGTAGCGGCCGTGCGGGAGGCCTTGGGCCGCCAGGGCGAGCGGCTGTGGGCCGGCGTCGAGGCCGTCAACGCCACGCTCAGGGCGCAGGCGGCTGACGTGGCCGCGCTGGAGGCCGCGGTGGTTCACCGCGGGCCCACGACCTCGCCGCCCCTGCCCATGCCTGTCGCTGGTGAGCCGCTCGCCCGTGCACCCACCCGCTCGGGTGTTTAGTGAAATTTGGTGCGCAGCGATTGACACCTCTCTGTAATACATACAGCTATGCTGTGTTTCCCATGTTTATTCCAATTGGTGTCATTTCACGAGGTGACGTGATGACGTATGTATGGCGGATATAATGGTGATGATGGAGCTGATGGTGGTGGTGATTTTGGCGGTGACGGTAGTGACGGTGATGATGTTGGTTATGATAGTAGCTGTGATGGTGCGGTGATGGTGCAGGGTTCCCGGTGCACGAGTTCCACCGAGCTGCGTTCTCGGCGGCGTTGACTCGGTCATCGCCCCGGGGTCGCGTCGTCGCGTTCGACAAAACTTATGTGAATGACGGACAGCACTATGACCCAGACACAGGTGCGTGTGATACACTATACACTACACCACCACGCTACGACCACGGCACAGGTGTACGCGATACACTATACACTACACCACTACACTACAACCCCAACACAGGTGTATGTGATACACTATACACTACACCACCACGCTACGACCGTGACACAGGTGCGTGCGATACACTATACACTACCACCACGCTACGACCACGACACAGGTGTGACGCTGTGTTTGTCTGCAGGGATTTTCCGCGTTCCGTACGACGGACGCTACTTCTTCAGCGGAACGCTTGTGTCGGCGGACGGGCAGGGCGTCGTGGCTTGGCTGTCAGCAGCCGGTCGCACCGTGGCTCAGGTAACGCCGATGAGAGGAGGTGGCCTTTCCTGCCCCACAGACACATTATTTTAAAAATGTGCATCCCCACTGTTAAACAAATGCGACTCTATAGCGACGCTTTTTGGCCTCAAGACTCAGGCTTTATTGTCTCAGCCGGTGAGGCCCCCGTTGAGCTAAGTGGCTCTGTTACAAGGATGACCACTGCCCCAATGTGGTCGGCAGTAGCGGCAGCAGCAACAGGACATCGCAGTTACATCGAGTCAAGTAAATTTAGTTTTGGAATAGCATGTCGCGCCTTTCTGGCACAAATCTGCCACGCGAAGGGCATAGAGTCGAATAGAGATTCATAGAATACAGATGCGTGTAGTTACATAGAGACTCATATACCGCAGTTCAACACAGTGGGCAGTGGCGGCAGTGACAGGATTTCATTGCAGGTAGAAAATGTGCAGATCAACCAGAGCAAAAAGCATTTACACGGAACCCAAGCCAGACCTCACTCCAAACAGGATGAACAATAAATGGTGCTTGAATATGTAATGAGACGACTTCAGAGACACGACTGGAGAGGGTTTCTTATTTATTTCTTAATACTTTAACGACAGGGTCACCATACAGCGACAGCAGCGACGTACAACTATATAGCTGGCTGGCTATATAGTGACGATGGCGATGAAGACTGTGTAGCTGGCTGGCTATATAGTGACAATGGCGATGAAGACTGTGTAGCTGGCTGGCTATGTAGTGACGATGGCGATGAAGACTGTGTAGCTGGCTCACTATACAGTGACGACGGCGATGAAGACTGTATAGCTGGCTGACTATATAGTGACGACGGCGATGAAGACTGTGTAGCTGGCTGGCTACATAGTGACAACGGCGATGAAGACTGTGTAGCTGGCTGGCTACATAGTGACGACGGCGATGAAGACTGTGTAGCTGGCTGGCTACATAGTGACGACGGCGATGACGACTGTGTAGCTGGCTGGCTATATAGTGACGACGGCGATGAAGACTGTGTAGCTGGCTGGCTATATAGTGACGACAGCGATGAAGACTGTGTAGCTGGCTGGCTACATAGTGACGACAGCGATGAAGAGATGGCAGCGATGAGAGCGACGACAGCCAGGACCTGAACCCCCACGACAGCCCCGAACCCCTTTTTGCCTCTCCCTTATATTGACTCAGCGTGGTCAAGTCCCGCCTTTGGCCACGCCCCTCTTCTCGAACTCTCCTGCTGGGTTCCAGGAGCTTCCAGTTCGATCCCCTCTTTGACCCTTGGCCCAGTTATGCCCCCCTTGTGGTCGCTCACGAATGTGTCATCCTATGCTGCACCCACACCCGTAGTTACCACCCATGGCCACTAGATGGCATACTGTCATTACACATACAAATCAACAACAGTGTTGAAAACCACGATGGCCAGACGGCTCGGAAGGTGTTGCGAGATACCAACGCTTTACCCCACCACATATGACCCACCGATTGACCAACTGCGGCCTACCGACTTAACCTGCTGGGTGATAGGCAGGCCTTTGTCTGTTAAACGTCGTTTGTTAGTCGCGCAATATTCCGTAAGGGTTCCGTATAATATTTATATTTTTGTCTTAATTTTGTTGCTGCTGCTGTGCTCACTCACCGCGGATCTCCCATGTAAAATAGCTGGGCAACTGGCTAAATTGGATCATTAACCAAAGAAATCGATTGGACATCTGTGAAAAAGAGATTTATTGCTCATCGGATTCCTCCAGTATAAACAAATATTATAATTCTGATTCTGTGTATCAGATCATGTTAATTGAAAGCTTGTCAATCCACTGCTGTATGAAGGTTCCGGTCCACCGTATGGGTCTTCGTGGTTTTTGACTATACTTTACAAAGGGATTATGTAAAACTATAGCAGGAGAGTGTATGTAGCAAATTGATGGTTTAGGCCATGGCCCTCCTTCAGGGCAGATGCTCACTTGGAGTTTGAAACCTCATGCTTTAACACTGCGGTGGCCTAAGAAAGCTGCAGCAATTTAAGAAAGTTGACAGGTGAACAGTTTTGATTTGACATGTGAAAAGTCTTGAGTCTGTGTAAACGAGACAGCGAATCTGAGTGCACAACGTCCATATAAACGGTATTAATCATGGAGCGGTCCATTTGGTTTGTGTCCCTGTGACCGCTCACGCCGTGCCCACAGGTGGACACGGCGAAAATATCCAGCCATTCGGAGCCCGGCATCATCAACGGCAGCCATTCACATCATGGCAAAGACACCAAGGAGGAGGGCGTGGAGCAGAGAGAGGAGGACGATGAGGAGGAAGTGGACGAGGTGGAAGGAGGCGTCGGTGGGGAAGAAGAGGGAAACCGCCTCATCGGTGGAAACGTCCGCCGGCAGTCCGACCGCAACGGCGGCGGCGCGGCGGAGCGACACGCGACGCACGGCAGCGGCGGTAGCTCGGGCCCCGGCGTGTTCGGCGTCATCCTGAGCCTGAGCGTGGGCGACCTCGTGTTCGTCGAGGTGGCGAGCGGCGAGGCGGCGTCCTCCGATCGGCCCTTCACCACTTTCAGCGGGGTGCTGCTCTACGAGACGCCGGCGGCGGCGGCGGCGGGCAGGTAACTCGGCGGGCTCCACTCGCCCAGAGTTGGTTGGCTGCTCCGACGTCGCCGCGGCCGCCCTCTGGAGGGCGCCCTCAACCCCTGCCGACGGTGGTTCGGGACAGCTCCGCCTGGGAGAGAGAGCAACGATCGGACCAATGAGGCAGCGATGCGAGCAATCGTGCGGAGCGGCCCCATCTGTTCGCACGGGGGTGGGCAACTAATTCCTTGCGGAGGGCCGAATCCATCATCAGCAGCAGCACCAGCAGCACCAGCAGCCATTGTCTATCCACTTGCTGGATGAACTCCTCCCCATGCCGTCAACCATCCCTCACAGACCAGCGCTGCCACCGTCCATCTCAGTCCTGCACGTTCCATTACCAACCTCGTCCATCGGCCAGAAGGCCGAATAGAACTTTTAAATACCTTTGACGGGCAATCTTACATTAACACACACACCTCAGTCGCTCCTGTCTGTGACTGAGCGTGCGAAATTTGATAACACAGACTTGTTGCCAGCTCGAAAATATTGCCTCCTCCGGTACCCAATTAAAGTACAAACAAACTACAATTCCGATTTAAAGCTTTAGTGACTGCAGGGATTCATATTCTTGGTTCTTTCGGTAAAGTCACGTAGAAGGGAAACAAAATTGTATATTTTTATTATTGTATTGTTTCCCTTCTACGTGACTTTACCGAAAGAACCAAGAATATAAACTACAATTCCGTTGTGTGTCTCCACATATACAGTACATTCAAATGACTATTTAAACCGTCAGCCTATTGGCTATCGTGGGGACACACAATGGGGTTCTGCTTGTGTACTCTTGTATCCAAGATGCACCTGGGTCAGAGGCGGTTCTAAGTGGAAGCCTGATATGGCCGTGGGCCGCAGCCTGATGTGGCCGTGGGCCGCATGAAGCGAGGTTGCGGGCTCCTTCTGGCCCATGGGCCATTGGTGTCCCCAGCGCTGTGCTAGCCGCTGGGTACCGTGACCGGTCACGTGGTCATGGAGCAACTCGCGAATGGCCGTAGTAGTCGTCGCCTTCATTTGACTGGGAGATTAGATTCAGGCCCCTTGAGACGCGTGATAACATTTCCTCTGTTTGGAAAGCACGAGCTGTCACGTTGATTCGTTTAGAATACTGTAGAACATTTAAAATAGTTTAAATTAACTAATCTAGACTATTTAATATACATGTTATTTACAAAAAATATTAATATAGTTCAATTGGGTGATTTTGCAAGATGCTCAAATCAAGGTTTCCCAAACTCCAATCCTCGTGAACCCCCCCCACCACACCACGTTTTTTTCCCCGCGTTTACAAATGTACTTCTACCACTCAAATCAACTTGTTTCATGCTACACGCGCCCGATTGTTGTTAAACACGTACGTACCACGTGCCCTGATAATAAATCGACTGCGTATGATAGAGCCGATTCAAATTAAGATTGAGATCACAGAAGTGCATGTGTACACGTGTTCCACACTGCCCGCAGACAGCCGGTAATTTCTTTACTGCCGCAGCACGTGGGCGTGTTTAACAACCATCGGGCGCGTGCAGTGTGGAACGAGTTTATTTGAATGGGAGGAGTCAATTGGTGAAGGCGAAAAGACGGAGTGTCGTGTGAGGTCGCGAGGGCTCGCGTTTGGGAAACCTTCGAGTCCGCGCAAACCCCCCCCCCCCCCCCCCCGGGTACAGCTTTCCGTGACGACCAACCATTTGGCGCGTGTGGTGTGCGCAGTGGCTTAATTGGCATGTGAATCGAAAAGATTTGGTAAACACCAAAACGCGGACCGTGACTGGGCCACGAGGACCGGAGTTGCGACCGCACTGGTGGCCACGTGCGTTCGTGGCTCCAGGTTGACAAGACCACAGAGTCCAGCTCTGGTTTGCCAGGCTCCGATAATGACGTTGAAGCATCCTGCAAGCGAAAGTAATTAATAATGGGAACACGAAGGCAACGTGTGGCGATGGTGATGCCCCAGCGCTGGGCTCCCGCCAGACTAGTTTTTTTGGGAAGCTGTGTACTGAAATGAAAAAAGCCAATGTCAGCGCACTACAATTTGTGAGTCTGTGGGACTTCTGTGTGAGTTACCGGGCATCTACGAGATTCTATGGGTCTCTGGGTGCCTATTTGAGAAGCCACTGTCAGCCCATTTAATGTGTGCCACGTTTCCATGATTTTTATCAACCTGCGTTGACTGCCATTTTGAGCAGGAGCGCGAATTCCCTGTGCTGATTTTACTTTACGGCACGCAGGACCTGTACCGGATGGTTCTCTACGGTCACTACTCGGAGTAACGGTTAACGTTAACATCTCCCAACGGTGGCGAGATATTAACTACCTCGCCTGGTATACAGGAGGTCGTGTGTTTGATCCCTACCCTCATTGCTGTATATTCGGAGTTTGCATGTTCTCTCTTCCTGTGGTTGCGTGGATTTTTCTACGAGTCCTCCGGTTTTCCCATCCACATTTAGAAACATTCATTTAGAATATTTGGCTGCTATCAATTTCCGCATGATAAGCAACTTCGTTGAGCTATCATTTGTGGCTAGGTCACTTCTGAAAAAAGAGCTATGTAGCTCTGTGGGCCTTGCCTAGAAAAATACAAAAACATTATCGTGGTAAGAAATCTTTTCAGTTTTTCTTCCACGTGTTCGAAAATGCTTTCGGTAGGTAACGTAAGCCAACGTGGGGCTCCGCAAACTGTTTTGCTTCGTGGGGAAAATGAGATTTGGTTTGCCGAGCCACATTTTCGGACGAATAACTTATTTCTTTACGGTCTCGATTGTTGCACCAGAGCCTTAACGGGTTTCCCCGTTAATGGCAAAGCGATGTGTTGCGCTGTAGCAAGGTGCCAATCATCCTCTCTCCGCCCATCGCTCACCAAGCTGTACATTCCTCGCCTGCTGTCGCTCCATCACACGCGCGTGCGTGCGTGCTGCGTGTGTTGGGTACTGTACGAAATGGCTGTACATTTGCTCTGCCGGCGGTAACGTTGCCTTCGCCGCTGAAATGTACAATTTTTTTGCGCGGTCGTTTACTCGGAATGTTTGCGAATTTTAAAACGAGGCGGCAACATCACTGGGGAATTCTGGGATTGTTAAGTGGGGCACCACCACAGTGGCGACTTGTGGGATTTTTAGAAAGGGCGGTGGCACCTTCTTGGAATTTTCGCAAATGTTTGAAACGGAGGATGCCCCTGGTGATATTACTGTATTTTAAAGGTGGGCTGGTGGCTTTTATATTTATCTATGTATTTCTTGTGTGGTTCTAATGAAAGTTTTATTTTTAAAATAAATATGATGTAATAGTACGTAGTATTTTATTAAGTTTATATGTGGCGATTTGCAAGTTACCTCTTAAATTATGGTAGCTTTGAGTTCAAAGAAAACGACCGCTAATTAAACCTGCAGTTTGCAAAGTGGCTGATATATCTTCTATCTCCATGAGCAGTGGTGAGGGTGGGTGGTGAGGGGGGGAAGATGGGAGTCTGCCCTATACGTGAACCCCACCCCCCGTATCCTACTTGTGCATTCACCCCCATTCGTCCGTTTTTTTATTATTGAGCGTTTTTACCGTAAGAATGTACGAAATATTTTTTTGGTGCTGTAGTGTTTCTAATATGCAAATACTTAACAAAAAAAATAAACTATAATTGCAATTTTATATCCTCCCATGATATTTTCATGAAAGCACGATGATCAAACGGCCCCACTCGGCATACACCTCTGGTTGGGTTAACCCCGTGGAAGTCCTTTTCTGAGGACTCATTTCAGGCAGAGAAAATCTAGGGAGAGACTCACACTTGGTGCAGAATTTTCTCGAGCTCATATTCTCCAAGTCCTCTTGATCCGGCCTGTGATCCACCACAAGGTAGCCAGAAGATAGCAGCACAGCAAGTGGGTTCTCGCACCCGCCCGCGCAGACCTTTTGATTGTTATCCTCTCAAAAAAATGGGGTTTCTTCACGAAAACCTTCGTGCTGGTGCCGTAGTTGATGCATCTCCTTGTACTCGTTGGGTTTTCCCTCAGCCACCTGCTCTCCGTCTATCTGACACTTCATCAGGCACCGCGACAGCTACACGAACTGTGTCCGAGTACTTTGGCAACTGTGTACGAGCCGTGTGCCAACTATGTGCCTGGCTGACTCAGTAGAACGGGGGGTCACCTGAGAGTGACTGGGGCACAAAATAAACAACGCAAGCAGCCGTCCTGCTTGCGTTGTGGCCGGTACGTCGTGAGAATTTTTATTCTATTTTATTATTTTATTATTTTCCTTCTACGTGACTTTAGCGAAAGAACCAAGAATATGAATCCCTGCAGTCACGAAAGCTTTAAATCGAAATTTATATTTATTTTACCAGGCAAGGCCCCCGCTGAGCTATATTATAGCTCTTTTTCAGAAGCGACAGGGCCATGAATAATGTCTCAACGGAGTGGCTTATGTGGAAATGTATAGCAGCCAACTACTCAAAACTAATGTTTCTAAATGTAGAGGGGGAAACCAGAGGACATGGAGAAAAATCCACGCGACCACAGGGAGAACACGCAAACTCCAAATATACCGGCGTCAGGGTCGGGATCGATTGCACGCACTGGCCAACATGGTGAAGTAAGGTCACGCTTCCCCAATGTATTGGGGAGGCCTTCATCCAGCAGTGGAAAAAAATCACCGGTGCTGCTGCTGCACTTATTGTCCAAGGACGGTGGACGCAGAATTGCATTGCGTGATGCAAGAAAAATTCATATTGCCGAGTGTGTAACGTTAGGGGGTGACCTTTCAGACCGCAGGCATGTAAAGGTACAGACATATACTGCAATAAACACTGCAGCCAGATGTGATTTGACAAATGAGCTGCGCTCGTAAACACAGATGCACTGCCACATACAAAAGCACCGTGGTAGAATTGGAGAGTCTGGGATTATTAAAAAGTAGTAGCACCGATGAGGATTTCTGGGGTTATTAAATATGGCAGCACCAGTGTGGAATTCTGGGATAATAAAAACAGCTGCACTGGCTCGGAATTCTGGGATTTTAAAACAGTTGTACTGGATAGGCTTTTTTGGATTATACTCTATAGCTGCACTGTATAGGAATTCTGGGATTTTAAAACACCTGCACTGGCTAGGAATTGTGGGATTAGTAAACAGGGCAGCACTATTGGAGACCTCTGGGATTATCAAACAGGGCAGCACTGTGGAATATTAATATGATTATACAGGGCAAAAGAGGGCTCCCAGCAGAATTATGTGGGCTAAATAGTACGTCACTGCGTAACATTTATCCAAGACCCAATTTTCTTATGGGAGATAAAAATGGGCAGCAGCATATGCTCATGACCACCGCCACCCCCAATGGCTGCACACACCAGGCCAGGAATCGAATTCCCGTGTGCACGTTTGCGTGTCATGAATAATGTTGATGCATTCTGACGCTGACCTTTATGCGACAGGGTACACAGCGATGTTTATGGCTTACAGGCAGCACCCAAATCAATTTCAGTTGCCATCCCAGTCCACCAGACACCCCCCCCCCCTCCACACCCCTACTCACCCCCCACCCTCGTCCTCTCGCAGTTCAATCTGTTCTCACCTCTGTGCGTTTACTGGTGGCGACAGTGGAGCGGTCAGCTGGAGGTTCTTAATAAAAATAGGTTTAGGGCACGAATGTTTGAAATGCCCGGAGATGGGAGCGATGAGATTATCTTGTGGTGCAGGTTGTGCTGGGTGGATTGCGACATCGCAGAACAGTGGCAGTTTGCGGTAGCTGGATGCCTTCATCAACCGATGGATGGAGGCCTTTGTTCTGCAACGAATTGATCGTGACCAATGACAATTGAATTATCCATAAGAGGTTTTTTTTTGGGTTAGATCGCGTAAATGTATAAATGTGTCGTTAAAACCCGCCGACCACCCGACACAGCCAACTAGTAAGGGTTGTCACGTAAACAGAACGTGGCCAATTCGTCACTAGTACAGCACTAGTGTGTATAGTGTAGTGTATAGTAATGTATAGTGTAGTATACTAGTACAGCACACCGGTGTCGGAGAGCCAAGCCACAACATTTACAATCTGAGTACGACGTTTCGCCAGTAATTACAAATAGCTTCATCAGGCGAAACGTTGTACTCGGGTTGTAAATATTTCGGCTTGGCTCTTCAACACACCTGTGTGTGCTGTACTCGTGACGAATTGCCCACGTTCTGTTTACGTGACAACCCCTTACTAGTTGGCTGTGTCAGGTGGTGGCGGGTTTTAACGACACATTAATTATATATTTACGCGATCTAACCCCCCCCCCCAAAAAAAACCTCCCATGGATGATGTTGGTCGCGAAAGCGTGTTAAACGATTGATTTACACGAATTTAACAGCGATTACATTAAGAGGCCGCTCAGGCACATGCCTACCTCCCGGACGGCGAGACTCGAGGAGTGAAATCACAAATTGGCATCGATTGTTGATGCTCGTAGTTCAAGCGGGGGGGGGGGGGGGTGGGAGAAAACATAACGCACACAACACGCACTAACGCGAAGTGTGTGGGGGACATAAATGAGACGCCGTGAGAGACGACTCGGCATTGACGCAGGACCTTTGGCGGGTCGTTAAGGCAATGAGTTCTATTGGAGACACGGGTGCCTTTCATTGAGATGCCTTCGCACATCAGTGCCGCGACTAAAGACGCCGCGACGTGGCAGCTGGAGTGTCTGCATGACCTTCCATTTGCCTACAATCCCGCGACCCCCATTAGCGTGAAGAAGACGCGCACACGTGCGCGTCTGTTTGAGTGTAGAATGAGTCAAAATATAACGCTCACACCGCGCGTCTGGGCCTGCCTGCGGAGTCTGTAACTCCACGATGATCACCGGCGACCCGTGCTGTCCGCTCCCTCGTCCAAGTTCAAGTCCAGGCTCAATGACTTACGTTTTACCCCTGCGCATCGCAAGTCTCACTGACTACTTTTTGGGGCCTGTTTTAAAAAAAAAAAAGGTACCGTCTTTTGAGTGTTTCTACGAGAATAGTACTGCACTTGTGATTAACCACAGACCTGACTATATTTGTGCCAAATAACAACTTTCTAGCCTATGCAGGACATCGTTATAGTTTATATCAGTTGCTCACAATGGCCTTTGCGTATTCGGTGCGTGTATACAGCATCATGCACTATGGCGCTCTCACGCTTGTGTATATATATTTTGAGTGTTCGCATGGATGCAGGCGGTGAAGAAACTCCCGAGAATGCACCCTAGCTCATCGGATCTTGGAAGCTAAACAGGACTTCTGCCTGTTTAGTTCGCTTATGGGGTTGACCTGCCATATACCACAACATTCAATTCGTGAGCAGGGTTACACGGTGGACGGTAGAGGACAGTGGAGCACAATGCTGTAATTTGTTGTACATTACCGTGCTTCAACCAACCCCACGCCGTGTACGGAGGAAGGCCAACATCCAGCAGTGGATTTACAAAAAAGCTGTGCGTGTACGCGGAATAAATGCACATGGGCTACGGAGAGAGAAGTGATAAAAGCAACACACAAAAGCGTGTACAAGAAGCAATCGGCCTTCTTAGTATTATGCAAAATCCACCAGCAGTTCCTGAAGAACTGCATTGTGGCCATCTCGTCTTATGTCACCATCAAAATGCATTTGAGTAAATGTGGCCAACTGACAGGCTAGCTTTCGACCGTCAACTCCAAAGAGATAAAACTTGCAACTTTTTTTAACAACAGGAAGCAGGACAGCGAGACAACGGTATACCGGGTTTATCCTTGATTAGGAATTATCATTATCCCAGAGGGCCCTCATGTGGCCAGGTAGGCCATCCCGGACCACTATGGGGGGACAGGTTGGCACCGCCTAGAAACCACTTGCAACGCGTTCTGTCTACACGCGCGCTTCTGCCTGATGAGTTTCTCCAATTGGTTTGCCCAACCCCCTTTCATTCGCGCGCCCTCCGGGGGGATGAACACGAGGAGAGAGAGAGAGGAGAGATCGGGACCGTTAACTCGCGGTGCCTTTTTCTTTCCCCGTCAGCCGAGAATGGGCCAGCATAGTGAGGGTTATTTAAGGGAAACAATGTTAATCTCAACAGAAAATAAATGAAATATACAAATGAATGAATAATTGAAAGGCTGTGCGTAAGGTCAAAATATTGCATTTCATTGCCACATCCACCGCAATTAATTTTCGAAAGGCTGCTGCCCTTGTCAAGATGCAGAGGCACTTGTCACTAGAGCTAAGGGCCTCAGGGGCTCAGAGTCTCAGAGAGAGATATATATAAGACAGAGCCTAATAAAAACTAAACATCCACCAGCCACGGACTGGGAACTGTCGGAGAGAATAACGCAACATACCGACAGTGTGTGTGTTATTGTTGTCGCTACGATGGAAATTAGAAGGCACCGGTGTGCTTTGGGGGATGTTTCTAGCACATATTTGAAGATCCGAAGCACATTCATGTCTGTAATCTGCGCATGTTATTTGGCTCCTGGGTAAAGGATAAAGGTGTATTCAGAAGAGATTGAGATGTGATATGAAATAGATGTATTCATGATAAATCTGAGAGAGGCGTTTCCAGAACAGAGACTAGGTATGAAATAGATGGGGCATATAGAAGAGATGGACAAGTGTTGCTTGGAAGACACAGCTTGCTCAGCACAGCCCAT